TAAGAGCAGTTTCAACCAATCAGGTGCAAAGGATTTTTATCTGAGCCCAACTCCAGGCTCCACAGGAACTATTTTTTTTAGAGCTATTGATGCAGGGTGTCATGGTCTCTAATACCTTCCCCACCCCCCAAGGTGTCACCACAGCATCCTTCATTCGTGGTGTATAGAAGCAGCAGAGAGCGGCGCTGACGTCATGAAGGACGCTGTGCTGATGGCTTGGGGGTGGGGCCACGACGCCCTACAGTCATGTAATTGACAATAGGTGTCATGTTACCCTGAACGCTGGGGACATCTAGTGGTTAAAAATAATTACTGCAGGTAAGTATTGCTAGAGTAGAGCTGCTTTTTAAAGATAATAAATACCCCTGCAGTGCCAACCCCCCCCCAAAAAAAAGAGTTGGGCTTTAATTTGTCTGCATTTTAGTGTCCCCTCATTATATAGCACATGTATCATGTAGCACCCCTCAATGACATATCACCAATCAGCACAGTGTAACCCCCCCATATAGCGTCAGCAATCATCTTACATAATTCTGACTGATATCTAATGATGAACAGCGGAATCTGCACATCACTGTACACCAGGATCTCTCTGCTCCTCTCTTGTCGGCCAATCAGTGGACAGGGGATGAGACCAATGTCAGGAGGGAAGGGGTTAAGCTTAGGAGCTTTAATTGGGCTGCATCACATGATGAGCGGATGACCCCGGTCTGCTGATCACATTGCCGGGGATGGGGAGGCTGAAGTTCTGTTCTGTGACTTGAGAAGATGGGGGGGAGAATCCTTCCCTTCCTCCAGAAACTTTGCTGGTTCACCCGGAATACCGCGGAGGAGCCCGACGAGTCCAGCACGCTGCTACCCAAGGTGACTACTACAGGCCGGGGTCACAGGGGCAGAAAATACAGACGGTGGAGCCATGTTTTTACTCCCCCCCCCCCCCCCCAACTGCCCACCTAAACACTAGGTGGGCAGTGTTGTGTCACATTTGCCCTCCTGCAATAAGTTCCCATTGAAGTCACTGGGGCTGCGCCGTAACTGCGTCCCAAGCTGGCTGCGGCATGACATTTTCATATAAAATCTCCCCCAACCCCCACCCCCCTCCCGGGATGAAAAAAATAAGTTTTTTTAAAATCTTAGTTAAAGGTGCGCGTTCACACCGGAGGATTACACTAATTGCACGTTTCTGTGTGTTTTGTGCAAGCTATCGCACAACGCGCCCAGCATGTGGCACTGTGCGTTGCTTTGCCATTCCTTTAAAAGGCACCCCAACGCACGCCACGTAAGCACAACACTGCAATACGGTGTATTGGGAAATCAAAAAAGTAGCGCAAGTGATGCTTTTTTTTCTCAACGCAACCAAACGCATGTTATTCCGGTACCGCGCTTCACGCTGAAACACACAGCCGCCGGGAGGTGCATTAGGGGGCCTTTTTTAAATGAATGGCAATGCACCTAGCACACAGTACTGCAGGCTAGATAGGACCCCTCTGTCCTAATTTGCATATTGCTCTGTGACGGGGACCCCTCTGTCCTAATTTGCATATTGCTCTGTGCTGGGACCCCTTTGTCCTAATTTGCATATTGCTCTGTGCCAGGGACCCCTTTGTCCTAATTTGCATATTGCTCTGTGCCAGGGACCCCTTTGTCCTTATTTGCATATTGCTCTGTGCCAGGGACCCCTTTGTCCTTATTTGCATATTGCTCAGAATCACCTGGGTGAAGAAGTCACTTCTAATGCATGTTGTTGCCTCACCGGCCCAGAATGCTGCAGAATCTTGGAGGGGGACTGAACATTATCTTACTGGCCAGCAAGGAAGCAAGACAGTAGGATAAGGCAATTTGTCTACTGGTGATTATGTCGCTGGCCACAGTTGCTTTTGGGATGGGGATGCTGAAAGGGGGAGCGGAGCAGCTAAGTCACGGGGGGAGTTGAGCTGCTCAGTCACTGTTGGGAGGGGGCAGGGTGAGCAGAGCTGCTGAATCAGTGCTGGAAGGGGGTAGCATGGTGAGCTAAGTCACTACTAGGAGGGGGGAGCTGAGCTGCTGAGGCACTGCTGGGAGGGAGGAGCTGAGCTGCCGAGGCACTGCTGGGAGGGAGGAGCTGAGCTGCCGAGGCACTGCTGGGAGGGAGGAGCTGAGCTGCCGAGGCACTGGAGGAGGAGCTAAGCTGGAGGGAGGAGCTGAGCTGCCGAGGCACTGCTGGGAGGGAGGAGCTGAGCTGCCGAGGCACTGGAGGGAGGAGCTAAGCTGCATTCTTTTTTTTTTTTATATCCAATTTCTCATTACCTCCGGGGATCATGTGGGCACCACTGCTAGTCTACTTGTGAAAATACTTTCTGCGCCGCTGACCTTGGAGCATGCGCGCGACAGATGAAGTCAGATCTCGCTAACTGCATTCTCTGGAGCTGAAACTGTGTCCTATATCATGGACAGGGAAGTATTTGGGCAGCTTTAGGCTGGGTTCACACCTAGGCGTATTGAATATGCGCATTTGTCGCGCGTTTTTACCGCGATTCGCAGTAAAATAACGCGCGACAAACGCCCGTTTCCGAGGGCTACTTGGCTGTATCCCAATGGAAACGCGAGACCAAAACGCCCCAAAGAAGTACATGTACTTCTTTGGGCGTAGGCCGTTTTGTATCGCGTTCGGACGGGCGGAAATACGGCAACGTGTGAACCAGGCCCATTGAATACAATGGGATTTAGATGTTTGAGCGTTTTGTAGAGCGTTCGTCGAGCGTTGAACGCGCTACAAAACGTTCAGGTGTGAACCAGGCCATAGGGTTTACACTCGGATCAGCCTATTTCAGTTACCAGCATGCCCCTCTCCAGATAACCGTGGCCTCAGAGATAGGTAAGACTGAAGGTCTGTCTACCCGTACATGACTTTGGTGGACCATTAAACATTGTTGAGATGAATGTTGTCACCTTTTTTGTTTCCACGGCTCTCAAGTTTTCTTCTGTTTCATTCTACAGAATGCTGTTGGACAACCAGAGTTGGAACGTTCCCAGGAGACCAGGAGCTGTAACCAAAACTACACCCATAACGTCAATGACGATGAAGAAGACAATGCCGAGACCGTTCAGCCTGGTACCCCGAAAGAAGGCTTTCTACTGGTCCCCTATCGCCCCAACCTGCTCATCCTTCTCATTAAATATTTCATGTTCATCATCAACTCTGCCTTCTTCACCTTGGGATTGGTCATCCTGTGTATCGGCTTCTGGGGCCTTTCCACCAAGCAGTCCCTGGTGGGCGAAAAAATCGGATACCTGGGCACCGACCCCATGCTGGCGTTCATACTCGTGGGCCTGGCGACGTGCGCCCTATCGTTCTCGGGGTGCGTGGGGTTCATTAGAGAGAACGCTTGCCTCCTCAAGACCTTCATGGTTGGGATGGCCGTTGTGATAGCGGCGCAGAGCTTGGTCGCCGTCGTGGTCCTTTGTTTTCAGCAGCAGATCCAAGGTTCCTTGAAGAGCACCATGATGGTGGCCATGAGCAGATACCATGATGATGCCGACCTGAAGTTTATACTGGATGAGTTTCAGATAGCCATGGAGTGTTGCGGAGTGGAGTCCTACCGGGACTGGTCGGTCAATCTGTAAGTGTCAGGGGGGCGGAAATGGTGCGGCCGCCATAGCCGGCCTGTTGATGAGTTTAAAGAAGGACTCTGGGAATGTACAAAAAAAAAACGTACCCTTGCTAATGGGGCTTCCCCTGCGGTCCTACCAGCTCCCTCTAGGCCGGTGCCTGCAGCCTTTCCTACCCCGGGCTCCAGTGGCAGTGGTGTCACAAGGGGGGTTGCGGGCCGCACCCGGGTGACACAATTGGAGGGGTGCCATCAAAATGACTGAGAGTCATTTTGGTGTCACCCCTACCCCTCTGAAAAGTCGGGCACTCGGTCAAGGGCCGAGAGCCCGACAGTTGCTCTAGAGAGGAGGGGACCCGGCGGCATACCTCATCCCGCCGGTTGGCGTCCCCTCCTCTCTCTGCCGGCGTCCATCACCAAGATGGCTGCCGGCAGGTAACGCGCGTGACGTCATTACACGCATGCTCAATGACGTCACGCGCGTACGCTGCGGGGGGTGTCACCTGGTACCGCACCGTGTGTCACCCTGCCTCGGGACGCCTCTGTAAGTGGTCTAAGGACCGCTGATGTCATTGACTTGCATTGGACATGAGGACACCGAGGGACATTCCACAGCCGGAATGAAAGAGCAATGAGTGCGGACCGCCGTGGGACGGAGGGTGAAGGTTAGGTGAGTATATCTGACTTATTTAAACCCCCCCCCACCCCGCCCCCCCAGACAAAACAAGCACTTAACCCTTGCAGTGGTGCTACTTTTTTAAATGCCTTGAGTTCTCCTTTAAATTCAAGAATTGCAGCGCTTTTTGTCATATGGCTTCACTGGTCGCATGCTTCTTAGGGGTCGGTGACGCAATAACTATTGAAGAGACAGACAGCAACTCTGCCATTGTGCCCTAGATGCTTACAGAGGAAATTAACTATTTGTTCATGGCCTCAACCAGGAGCACACGTGACAGGGCGAAACAGTGGACCATGCCTGTGTCATTAGCATCGGCGTGCCCCCTTATACCATGCACAGGAAGTACATGTGAAAGGGTGACAACAGTGGGCCATACCTGTGCCATCAGCCTAGGCATGCCCCCTTATAACCTGCACAGGGAGTACATGTGACCGGGTGACAACAGTAGGCCATGCCTGTGTCATCAGCATCGGTATGCCCCCTTAAACTCTGCACAGAGGAAATGAACTATAAAAACAGACAGGCTGAGGGTAAAGAGCAAGACCAGTCACCTGGTTTACCTGCGGTCACCCTGCAGCTGCTCTTCCCAGTTCCTGACTCGCCGCGCCTTGTTCTGCACCTGAGTCTCCGTACGGAAGCGGCCATCTTGGTAGAGGCAGGGCTTTGTTTCCTCATGTCAGAGCCTCCAGCAAGGAGAACAGAACAGTAGTCACCTGACCGGATCTCACTTTACAGCAGTGCCTGAGATCTCACACTGCAGATATACAGCTATGAGGATACAGGAGAGCCTAGGCACCCTCACATACCAGGAAGTGACCGGATATTTTTCAGGAGGAATTGTATTTTTTTGCGTTTTTTTATTTAGTTACTTTTACTTCTTCTTGGGCCTGAAAAGATCTGTGGGCTACTATATAGCCCGGGGGTAAGGCAAACCCCAGCCCTCCGGCTGTGGCGAAACTACAAATCCCATGATGCATCTGTCTCTGGAACTCGTGGCTGTGAGAATCTTGCAATGCATCATGGGACTACAAATCCCATGATGCATCTGTCTCTGGAACACGTGGCTGTGAGAATCTTGCAATGCATCATGGGACTACAAATCCCATGATGCATCTGTCTCTGGAACACGTGGCTGTGAGAATCTTGCAATGCATCATGGGACTACAAATCCCATGATGCATCTGTCTCTGGAACACGTGGCTGTGAGAATCTTGCAATGCATCATGGGACTTGTAGTTCCACAGTAGCTGGAGGGTGCGGAGCTGCCCGCCCCTGATCTGTTATATATTTTTTATTTTCCCCAGAGTTCTGCTTTAAAATAGTTTTTTATTATTTCAGGTATTTCAACTGCACGTCCCCCGGAGTGAATTCCTGCGGCGCTCCCTACTCCTGCTGCATCGATCCCCTCCAGAACGGCACGGTCCCCAATACTCAGTGCGGATTCGGCGCTCTGGGGATGGGCGACATCGCGGCCAGTAGCCTTATCTACACGGGGGGCTGCGTTCCCCAGCTGGTCCTCTGGATTCGCCGCAGGATCTGGGATATCGCCGTCATCTACGGCCTGCTGATCTCCATGGAATTCGCCTGCATTGTCTTTGGCCAGAAAGTGATGCAGGAGATCGAGGTGATCAAACGTCGTTATTGAAAGGTTCCTGTTGTGGTTACAAGTTTCTCTAAAGTTCTCCTTTTAATGTTATTGTAAAGTCTTCCTGGTTTTTTCATTAAACTAAAACTGATCGTTGCTGGTGGTTGTTATTATATTAATATAACATAAGTATACGGTGTGTGTGCAGGGATCCCAACCCGAAAGAAGCAATTTCAGGGAGGTGTCCCTCTCATTTCAGGGAGGTGCCCAATAGCCAATAGCAAACTAGCTATTGCACCCGCCCTCTGCTGCTTTCAATCACCAGAAGAGGACCTGCCAGAAAAATTCAGGTCCCCCTCTGCTGATTGACAGCAGCAGTGGGCGGGTTCATTACCTAGTTTGCTATTGGCTATTGCAAAGTGCAATAGCCAATAGGAATCTAGCTATGGATTCGTATGCCTTTTCTTTTCTTTTCTGACTGATGACGGGCCGTGGCTCCCGATGTCAGAAAAGAAAAAAACGATCGCAGGGAAAGGTTTACTCTGCTTGCGGGAGGAAGTGTTTCTCTCCCGGGCGGCCGGGAGCCGCTATCTAATAGCGGGAGACTCCCGGAGCGTCCGGGAGAGTTGGGATGTCTGTGTGTGTATAAGAGACAGAGGTGTGTGTTCTATGTGTGCGCCTAGCAGCCTGTTCCTCCCTTAAGGGAAGACGCGGCTGTACGGTGTCATACGCAGCACCCGAACTGCTCACCAGTCCTTACATGTGGCGGCTGCATTTCTTTTCCTTTTTTTTTCCCCCCCATTTTATTTTCACCTGGTGATCCTGCCAGTAACACACTTCCTGTCCTCAGGTGATAACACCTCTCCCTCTTACGACACAGGTTTGGCCCACTGTTGTCACCCTGTCACATGTACTTCTTCCTGTGCAGAGTATAAGGGGGAACGCCTATGCTCGTGACACAGGCATGGTCCACAGTTGTCACCCTGTCACTTGTACTTCCTGTGCAGGGTATAAGGGGGCACGCCGATGATGATGACACAGGCATGGCCTACTGTTGTCACCTGGTCACATGTACTTTCTGTGCAGGGTATAAGGGGGCATACCGATGCTAATGACACAGGCATGGCCTACTGTTGTCACCCAGTCACATGTACTTCCTGTGCAGGGTATAAGGGGGCACGCCGATGCTCATGACACAGGTATGGTCCACTGTTGTCGCCCTGTCACATGTACTTCCTGTGCACGGTATAAGGGGGCACGCCTAGGCTGATGACACAGGCATTGTCCACTGTTGTCACCCTTTCACATGTACTTCCTGTGCAGGGTATAAGGGGGCACGCCGATGCTAATGACACAGGTATGGTCCACTGTTGTCACCCTGTCACATGTACTTCCTGTGCACGTTATAAGGGGGCATGCCTAGGCTGATGGCACAGGCATGGCCTACTGTTGTCGCCCTGTCACGCGTGCTCCTGGTCGAGGCCACGCACATTGCGCAGGCACGGTCTACCGTTGTCACCATCAAGGAGCCGATCTAAACTAATGATGAGCAGCCGCCTGGAGGAGATCAGCAGAGAAAACGTGTCAGTTGTTTATGATACACGGCGCTCTGTCGTTACATCTTCCGATCGGGCGCGCCGTCCGCCTTCGTTTCCCCCCCGAGGCCCCGACTGTAGCGCCAATCGATGAACCAGCCGGTAAGAGCGCGTTTTATTGATCGCGAGGCTTCACCGCCGTGAAATATAATCGCTTGATTGCAGGAAAAATAATCAGCGCTCCAGCAGACGGCGGCATTTATTTATCGCCGGCCTGCTCTTATCTCCGGG